TTGCTATAATAGTTTTGTTAACTTTGCTATAATAATTTTACTATAATTATTATATTTGCAAAATTTTCTAAAATATTTACAAATAATATTCTCTAAAACTAATTTTCAATAAAATATAAGTAATTATTCATCTAATCATATTATGATATAAAGTGATCAATAATATATAATTAATTAATATTCTATTAAAAGTTCATATTACAATACTATTTATTTTTGAGCTCTTTAAATATATATAAATATATTAATAACTAATAATTTAAATTAAATATTCTTATTGAATTTATCTTATCAAGATAATTATTTTAATAGTTTTTTTATTTAAATCTAATTACTAATTATTAAATACTCAAAAAATATTTATTACTATATTAAAAATTACTATCACAAATAAAAATTGCTTATTTAACTTTTCTAAGATTTTTAAATTTAAAGAAAGAGAAATTATTTATTTTAAAAGATTACTTATTTTTAGAACTTTATAATATTTTATTATTATTATTATTTATATTTTATATATATATTTTATTTCTTTAATTTTCTATTAATTTTTAAATTATATAATAAATTATTAATTTAAATAATATTATATTAATTAAATTAATATTATTTAATAATTTTATTAACTAAAAATGATTATAAATATATAATTAATTATAAATCTTATTAATATAATAAAAATAATAATTAATTATCTATTAAATTATTTTAATTTTTAATTATATTATAATATAAATAAAAATAAATTATTATAAATTTTATTATTTAATTTTTTAATATTAAATTTAAATATAAGAAAATAATATATATTATATAATATATTATATTATAAAATTAATTTTTCTATTTCAGATAAGATTTTCTCTTTTTTTCTTAATAATTATATAATATATATTTATTTTTTAATATAATAATAATAATTATTATTATATATTTCTAAATATAAGTAACTTTTAAATATAAGTAGTCATCTTTTTTTAAGATTTAAAATTCTGAAAATATTATATATAATATAATAAATTTATATTTAAATATAAGTAATTTTTTCTCTTTATTCTAATAAAATCTTGCATTTTTTAATTATTTATATTTAAAAATATATAATAATAACTTTTAAAAAATATATATTTTATATTAATATATATAATTAGTAATAATAAATATACTTTTTATCTATAACTTAATAAAAAATTGCTAATTTATAAAAATTTAGTATTATATTCTTTAATATGACAAAAATAAAATTTTCTATAATTATAAAGTATATTAATATAATAATATTTTGTGAAATTATATATTAAAAATAGTGAGCTAGAGAGTTATCCTAATTAAAATACTAAAAAAAATTATTTAAAAATTTTTTTATAAGTATAAAAATAATTTTACAAAAATATATTTAAAGATATAAAAAATAATATTTATAATTTAAAAAAATTTTTAATTGATATTTATTAAATAAATATCAGTTAAAAAAAACTTAATTTTGATAAATTTTATAATATAATATAATAAAAATAAGTCTTTTTTTAACTAATAATTATTTAATAAATATTAACTAAAAATTTTTTAATTATAAATATATTTTTTATATTTTTAAATATATTTTTATAAAATTATTTTCATACTTACTTATAAAAAATATTTTTAAATAATTTTTTATAGTACTTTAATCAGAATAGTCCTCAAATCTACTATCTTTAATATGTGATTTCACAAAATATTACTATTAATATATTTTATGATCTTAAAAAATTTTATTTTCATTATCTTAAAAAATATAATATCAAATTTTGTAAATTTTTAGCAATTTTTTATTAAGTTATAAATGAAAAATATATCTATTATTTCTTTTTATACTGCTTATATATTCTATTTTTTATATTATTTTATTTAAAAATTAATTTTATTCTAAATATATAAATAATTATTATATATTTAATTAATTTAGATTTATATATATTATTATATAAATAATTATTATATATTTTTTAATTATAATTAATATTTTCTTTAATTCATTTCTTTATAATTTTACTTATTTTTCTTTTATTATTATTTAATATATTATTAATTATTTATTATTAAATTAAATATAATTAACTCTTTAAAAATATAATATAAGATTATTAATTTATTTAATTAAGTAAAATCTATATATATTTTAAATTATTAATTTATTTATATTTTATATTTATTTATTTTATATAAATATATTATTCTTTTTTGTAAATTAATTCTCAGATTTAAATATTATTTAAATAATAAAAATTATAAATTATTTATAAATTGAAATTATTCACTTCATATTTTATCTTATTTATAATTATAAATAAATAATCTTATATTTTATTAATTATTTTATTCATATTTTTATTAAATAATAACTAAAATAATATTATTGATAAATATTTATAAATAATTAAATAAATATTATAATTATAATAAAATTATTATAACAAAATTAGCAATACTATTATAATAAAATTAATATTATAATAAAATTAATATTATGATATTAATTAAATTAGTATTTAAATTATAATAAAGATAAATATAAGTATTATAGCTAAAGTAGAATCTTTAAAATATATAAAAATAATATATCTTAATTATAAAATAAGAATAGAAGAATAATAATATAAAATAAATAAATAATTAATTATGTGATTAATAAAATAAAAGATAAAATAATAATAAAAATATAATAATATTATGAAATAATAATTTATATTAATAAATATCTTATAAAATTAATATTTATTATATATATATATTCCTTAGATTATAATTTTAGATCATATTTTAGCTGATCACATTATAAACACACTCTTATTATCTATCTTTAGCTTTATTATAATCATAATCTAATGCCTATTATATTATATCTTTGATTATAATAATCTCTTCCACTCATAATTAATAAAAATATTTAATCACTCTTATCAAGTATTTTATAATATTAGAATTATCATACCAAAAAGATAACAGTAGTTTGTATTTTAAAAATTAATTAATATATAATGATAATAATCTTGATATTTCTTATTTATCTTTTATTAGTGATATTATTTGATATTGATATTTTCTTAATAGATTGATTACAGAACACATATGATCCGTGATTATTTTTTGAACCTGTTCCCATTTAGATTTATTGAGTTTTGGAAAGCATTCAAGCCGATCATACTACGAAAGTTGTGGGCTGATACACATGCTGATAATAATATTAAATGCAAATTTACATGCTAAACCCTATGATCCGATTTGTAGATCGGCAAATTTCGAAATCTACAAACCTTTAATCCATGCATGTTGAAGCGCCTTCTGAGCATTCAGCTTTTTCGCTTTCAAATTAGTCACAAAGTCGTTTCCCTCAACCGACATCAACATATTATCAAAACCCTCCAACATCTTACCAAATTGGTACATATCAGATAAGAATGTATATTGCCCAGTATTCGTGAGTGTTTTATCATCCCAACAATTCAACCATTCGTCAGACATATTTTCTCCATTATAACCTCCGTGTTCGAAATCGATAAGAACATATTTGAAGTTTTTCTCATATGGAACATAGAGAATGTTTGGTGTCCGAATGTCACGATGGACGAAGTTTCCTCGATGCAACCTGACTAGTCCAGTAATAATGCTTTTACTCATTGCCTTTAGCTCACCCTCGTTCTTCGGCAAGATATTCAAGCCCCGCGTTGTCATAAAGACTTTATAACTTCCTCGTCTCTTAAGAATAGGTTCGTCCTTGATTTGAACAAGGCCTGAATAGCCTTTGGCGTGCTTGTACATTCTTACCAAGAAATGGATACGAGTATCATCATTAGCATATGGAAGATGATTTCGTGGGATCTTCTTCTCGACGAAGTCATCAAAGAAAGTAATCGTCGTTTCCCCAGTCTTCCTCCGTTTGCCGAGAGGAATGATATTATTAGGAATCTTAGTACTTACAGTCAACATAATGCGTGTAATGTTTATCACCGTATGGAGGATGGTAACTCGATCCCTGCGGTGATCCATCTTGAGCATATTCGTGAGCGGGATCAAACGATCAAGCTGGTTCCCAGCGTCTGGTGAACCATCAATTGCGTAGAAACAAATCTTCGGTCCCGCGGCGGCGTAACAAATCATGAATGGGATGTCGCCAAAACACATGGGGTCAAACACATTAAACTTACTCTGAAGCTCTTCTACAGCAAGATCGAAATCCTTTGCATCGCCCTTCTCCTCGCCTTTAAATAGGAGCACTTCTCTTGTCCAACAAAGGAAGTCTGGCCGATCACGACCTTTTGTTGTCGATTTCGGATCCGCTCTGTTCCGATCAAATTCAATTGGTAGTCTCCCTCCGAGCGCTTTCACAAAAATCTGAAGTAAAAACCTGATCAACGCGTCTACAGATGAGTGCATCATGTCCTCCGATCCAGTGCCTATGACAGCATCTCCAATTGGGTCGCTTAGTGCATAACTGATCTGCATTGCTATCGTACTTCGACGAACCTCTTCGCTAGTATAGATAAAATCTTTAAGTATAGGAAACTTAGTCTCCTCGCCCCCAGCCACAGGCAATTTGCAAAGAAGGTCTGCTTTGATAAGAGTAGAAAGTTCTCTCGCTTTGTTTGGTATTGTTTCGAATGGTTGCAAGAGCTGATTACATATTTGGTCAGTTTGGTCAGCCATTAGTACATCACGGCTTCGCTTCAATGAAGCTTCGAGAGTGAGACCAGAAGATTTGATATTTGTACAATGGAAAAGGCATAAGTTAGTCAACGTCGAAAACAGTATACCAAAATACAACGACAGTGAGGGAATTTAATGTGTGGCGTGAGCAGTAAGCA